TTGGCCAGTAGGCTCTTTGGAGGTATTAATTCCACAAGTGCCCCGCTGGATCCTAGGCTTGACGTTGGAGGACCATCCTTCCACGCCAGGCGGGCCTCTGCCGTCACACAGCCTGCCGCCTGGTGGAGCTGGACGAGGTGATGGCTGGCCGGACTGGTGGGCCCGGGAGGAAGGCATCCCCAGGGCCGCCTCGGCCTGGCCGTGCGCCTGTGTGCACAGCTGTCCGCAGGCGTTCCTGCAACAAGCCTTTTGAAGGGACCCCCTTCACAGAATGCGCTGCTTGCCGCCTGCCCCCAGGGCGGGAGACCTGCAGGGTGACACCCCCCCCCGCCCCCCAACGCAACCTGCGTCAACCCCGCAGGGTGCTCAGCCCACTCCGCGGGTTCGGCCTTCCCTGGCTGCGCAAGCACGTCACCCTCGCCCCGCCCTTTCCTCCTTGGCCGCGGATTGGCTGGTTTGGGTCACGTGGGCGCGCTCGCTTTTCCTGGCGACGAGTGGCCGGCCTTCGGCTGGTTTCCGGTGCGGTGGGTCGGAGATGACGGAACCCGGCGCTTCCCTGGAGGACCCCTGGGTCAAGGCAAGCTCCGCGGGCGAGCACCCGGGGGCTCCAGGGGAGACAGCCTGTCCCCCGCGCGTGCTAAGGTGGGGAGGTGGCTGAGGCGTGTGCGCGCGAGTGTGAGGGCGGGTTTGGGACTGGGGAGGTGGCGGTGCGGGGCGGACGGGGTCATGCCGAGGGGCGGCGCTCCCACGACCTAGCCAGTCTTGGCTCCCGGGGAAAGCCTTCCGTTTCTTGCGCGCGCCGGTGTGTCCGTCCGCCCTTCCATTGCCTGCGCACCTGTCTGTCCGTCCATTGCCTGCGCACCTGTCTGTCTGTCCTTCCATTACCTGCGCACCTGTCGGTCCTTCCATTGCCTGCGCACCTGTCTGTCGGTCCTTCCATTGCCTGCGCACCTGCCTGTCGGTCCTTCCATTACCTGCGCACCTGTCGGTCCTTCCATTGCCTGCGCACCTGCCTGTCGGTCCGTCCATTGCCTGAGCACCTGCTTGTGCGCAAACTATTGTACGCAGAGGGAATGGAAGAGGCCTCCTGGGGACGGAGGTCTGACGCGCTTTCCTCCCTTGCTGGGGGCCGCAGGTGGAGTATGCCTACAGCGACAACAGCCTGGACCCCGGTGAGTGCCTCCCCACCCACTTCAGCCCTGTAGGTTCCCTTGGCCTTGGCCGCTACAGCTGACCGCAGCCCTGTCTCTGAGCCTGACACGGTGAGGGAGGAGCTGGAGGACCAGGGCAGGAGGCACGGGAGGGTGATCCTAGTTCCCTCTGCTGCGGAACAGGGAAGTGATGGAAATAGTGAGGCTGGTCCCTCTCACCCTCATCACGCCCCGGTGTTGCTTTGTGCACCAGCAGTGCCATTGCCGGCCAGGGGAGCAGTGTAGACCCAGGGCAGGAGCCTTGCAGATAGATGGCTCTAGAAGTGGCTGGCCCAGCACGGCTAGCTTTAAGTTTAAGGGGAGAGGTCAGCATTTAAGGGTCAGGGAGCAGTGGTGCCCCCAGGTGTCTGAAGGCCTAGCAGTGTTCCTCCCCGCCCCCCACCTTACCCCTTAGTGATTGGGGCCTCTCTTTTCCAGGGCTTTTTGTAGAAAGCTCCCGCAAGGGGAGTGTAGTGTCCAGAGCTAATAGCATCGGTTCCACCAGTGCCTCTTCCGTCCCTAACACAGGTAGGCAGCCACGTCCCCCATCTGGCGGGGCTCAGATATGCCATCATTTTAGTATCTTTCTTAGGATGCTCTAGCCATCCACGTGGGGTGCTAGAGCCCTAGTGCTAGACACAGGGTCTCATCGTCTTTTACCTCATCTAGAATAAGTTCCTGTGCCCATCTGCTACCTGGGCACTACGTTCTTTTTCCCAGTTAGGGACAGATGGATTAGCTGGGTCTCCCTGGGCCCCAGATTGATCTCTTCCTGCCCCCAACTCTGAGCGTAGATGACGAGGACAGTGATTACCACCAGGAGTCCTACAAGGAGTCCTACAAGGACCGGCGCCGGCGAGCACACACGCAGGCTGAACAGAAGAGGAGGGATGCTATCAAGGTGATTGGGGAGGCCTCAGCCAGCACAGGAAGGCCCTGCACATTTCAGACTCATTGTGCCCTGACCCCATCAGACAGGCCCAAGTCACCTGGGGGCAGGTAGTCATCCCTGGACATGAACACCCCCCTCCTTCCAGCCCCTACCCTTTTTAGTTTGTGAGAATGGGACTTAGTGTCATGGAAGAAAAGTTTGTGCCATTTTGTCTTAACCCCTCAGAGTTAAGGAATCTATTTCCCTTGCTCTCTCCACAGAGAGGCTATGATGACCTTCAGACCATCGTCCCCACCTGCCAGCAGCAGGACTTCTCCATTGGCTCCCAAAAGCTCAGCAAAGCCATCGTTCTGCAGAAGAGTATGGCGGGGAGCGCACTGGAGGGGTTGGAGCAGTGGGCTATGAGCAGGCTAGGCTTAGACCCGCTTTTGGCCTGGCCCTGTTGGGTGGTTGTAATGGGAGACCTGGGGAACGGGGAAAAGGGAAACAAGATTAGCCTTGTCCTCTATGCCCACAACCTCTCTCCACCTTCACCCTAGCTATTGACTACATCCAGTTTTTGCACAAGGAGAAGAAAAAGCAGGAGGAGGAGGTGTCCACCCTACGCAAGGACGTCATGGCCCTAAAGATCATGAAAGTGTAAGCGCGCCCAACTGGGAACCAGGGCTTCTGAGGGGACTGAGGCCCACTTCAGTTCACTCTCCCTTTTGTTCAAAGGCCACATCAGATAATATTCTCACTCCCTCCGGTGGCCACTTAGAGGCAGGAACCTGTCCCCCAATAGTCCCTTATAGTAGACACTAGAAAAGTCTGTTGGGTTAATGGAAGGTTAGAGAAGATAGGTGTCTACTTTTAACCTAAAAGCAGTATCTAGCTTATGAATATATCCCCAAAGCTCTCTAGGAATCCCCTTCTTGGTTGGGGGGGGGGGTATTGGGGTCACCCTATTACCCTCCTGACCTGGTAGAGCTGCTATAGCACCTCAGCCCTGGCCTGCTTGCTTTTAGGAACTACGAGCAGATTGTGAAGGCACACCAGGACAACCCCCACGAGGGGGAGGATCAAGTTTCCGACCAGGTCAAGTTCAATGTGTTTCAAGGCATCATGGATGCCCTGTTCCAGTCCTTCAATGCTTCCATCTCCATGGCCAGCTTTCAGGAGCTGTCGGCTTGTGTCTTCAGCTGGATTGAGGAGCACTGTAAGCCTCAGGTACGGGGCAGCAGGGGTCACAGGGCCTGGCGGCTTCTCCCACCTTTAGGCAAAGTGACCCAAGCCATTTCGAAAAGCAGGTGGCAGACTTTAGGTTTCTTCAGGGTGTTTCTACAGCGGTCAGTACTCCTCCCCCCACTGCTTTCTAAAGCTTACATTTTCCTGTGACGGTTTCATTTATCAAGTCTGATCTGAGCGCTTACTCCTATAAGGCCCAGTTCTGCCTTGGTCACTCCTCAGCTGCCCAGTATGTAAGCCCCATCACTTGAAGCAGAATTACATGGGGTTTTGGAAAGATTTCTAGCCCCAACCCCAGGCCTACTAAGGGAGCTTTTCCTGTTTACTTGTAATGATGTGGTGTGTTAATGGTATTAAACCGAGTCTTCTGCTTTGGAGGCCTAGTTGCTTCTTCTGGGGCTTAAACTTGTCTCTCAGATTCTCTTTTGTTTTCAAACATTTTTATTAGGAGACACTTTAAACGTACTGGAACATCAAGAGAATTTACACTGAATATTCATATATCTATCACCCAAATTCTACCATTGACATTTTCCATATTATCCCATAGCTGTCCATCTCGCCATCCCTTTCTCCATCCTGTTTTGGGAGCATTGCAAAGTAAACTGTAGACATTAGTGCTTCCCAGGGGCTTTCCCCCCTGCTAGAAAGAGCGCACTTGGTCAGGTGTCCGACAGCTCTCTGCCCTCACCTGAGCATCATCTCTCTTCCTCTGCTGCCCTCAACAGACCCTACGGGAGATCGTGATCGGTGTCCTGCACCAACTGAAGAACCAGCTTTACTGACCTGCAGAATAGCCAACAAGAGGCCTCAAGTCTCCTACTTGGTCACAACCACTGGGCTTGTGAGATTGGACTGCGACACCGCCCACCAGTCAGCTGGGTTCTCCTTCATGTTTCCTCCCCTAGCCCCCCTCATCCTCTGGGGCTGGGGTGTTTGTGAAAGCTTCTGATTAATTTATTGTATTGACTATAGAGCTCGAACCTATCCTCTCTTCCCCCATAGAAGTCCTCAGAATGGGGGTCTGCTCTGGGGGCGCGCGCATGCACGTGCGCACACACACACACACACACACACACCCCTTTCCTAATTTTCAGAATTCAGCACATGATCTACACATATTTAGAAACTGTTTGCCTGTTTCGGTATCTTGGGTGACAGCTGGAGCAGGTTTGGCCATTTTGGCAGGAGTCGCTCGGGAGGAATGCGTTAAGAGAAAAGACTTGCGCAGCTATGAAGGCTGAATCAGGCTCATGCCTAGGCTAGAGCTGCCTGGTCAGCCTGAGGTAGAGCCATGGCTTTCTGGCCGGCTCAGGCTCGGCTGCCAGGGTCCTGCTCCTGCTGTTGACTCCACCACCTCTTCGCTGCTCTGGGCAGCAGACAGAAGCAACCTCCCACCTACTCCTGCCCTGTCCCCACAGGCACTGGCACTGCACAGCAAAGTCAAATGTGACAAAAGTTTTTATTTTTCTAAATACCAACAAAGGTTTTGCTGAAATTACAATTAAAAAAAAAAATTAGCTGGGCCTTAAAACCACCCCTAGCTTTCTGTCAGATGTATCTGGGTCTCTACCATCTTTCAGGTGCTGCTTACATTTCTGCCAGAACTTGGGGGTGGGTGAAGGCCTGAGGTATATGGAACCCAAGAGAGTCTGGGGTGCAGCCCTGGACTCCTTGAATGCTGTGTATAATAGCCTCTCTCTACCTTTGTCCCCCAACCTCCCTTTTGCCTTCCTCAGATTTGTTATCTGGGAGGTTTGATTATCTAGAGGAAATTAAATATTTTTATATCAAATTATATTACAATAAATATTGCCAAATGCTTTCCTTTAGTTCCAAGTCTAAGTGTTAAGCGCAAGCATTTGAAATTACATTCTAGACCATGTGATGAGTGTACCCATCGACTCTGGGTGACAGCACTCCTTCCCCTCCCGCTCTGGTTTATGCCCCGCTCCCAGCTACCCTGCCCCAAGGCCGAAAGCAGCAGCAACAATAAAAACGCTGGCAGCCAGTCTGGGACTCTGTCCCCATAACCCAGTCCTAACACGGGGGCTCTCAGGGGTCTGGGAGCTTGACATTATAATCTTCATCTGTCTCTATCCCAACTTCCTCCTGTGGGGCAATGAGACAAGTGAATGAGACCTCTTTGGGCGGAACCCCAGGGGAGCAAGGAAGAGAAAGAGAACCACTTACAAAGAACTGCTTCTTACTCTTGGGGTACCCTTCCAGGATTGCATCACACAGCTCTGTTGCCTGACAAGAAACAAGACCACCCCTTTGCAGATGGGTAGCACTTGGCACTGCCTAACAGATGCATGACATGGCAGCAGTTTCTTGGGGTGAGGGGTGGGGGGGGCTATTTTCCAGGGCCTGCCTGGGAACTCCTGCACTTACCATCCTCTTGCGCTTCCTCCACTCCTTGCAGTACTTCTGCTTCTCTCTGTACACCTAAGCCGGGGGAACAGGTTTCTCTAAGCCCTTAGCCCCCCGGCAGGGCAGCTGCTGGGGTCAACTCTTGTGCTTGCTTCTCTGCACAGGCTGCCTGCCCTCCCAACTCACCTGTTCCTTCTCCTCCGGGGTCACATGGCTGGTGGCTGCTTTGATGTTCTTCAGTCTCTCTGTGTAGCCAGCACATTCCTTCTTTAACTCCTGGATCTCTTTCTGCATCTCCGGTGTGGTCAGGGCACTAGTTAACTCCTTCAGCTCTGAAACCACATCTCCCTGACATCACTTGCTGTCTCCCAAGGAAGGGGTTCTCTTCCAGTGGGTACTCCCTGAGGCAGGAGACCAGGCCTCCACTCGCTCTGGGTTTTACACCCAGGGTCCAGAATGGGCCCCTTATTCTAGAAATGTCCAGGAAGCTGTAGCCATGGAAGTGTGAGAACAGTATGCTGATAATCATGATAAGGAAAGCAGATGCATGTCCTGCCCATTTGAATTTCAAAAGCCATCAGCTGTCATCTTTCTCTGAATGTAACGCTATGGCAGCCCAGCAAAGGGATCCTCACTGCACTGAGACAACAATGCAGTCAACAACCCATTTCCTCAGTAATCCTGACCTCTGGACAGACCCTGATGCTAGCGAGGGGCACCCTCCGAACAGCCCATTCCTACCAGCCTCCATTTGGCGACAGCTCTGCTGCAAGCTCTGCACCTTGGCAGTGAGGGTCACGATTTTGGCATCCAAGCTTTGGAGGTCAGCATCACTCACCGTGTCAAACTGGTCCTGCCAAAGACAAGAAGAAAAGTGGCCCGATGTGTGACCCCATGTCTAAAAGGCAACATTCAGACACACTTAGGAACCTTCCGAAATAGCAGCAGTGTACTTTTGAGAGATCATTCAATTTAGTACTGAGCCCAACAACGAAGTATCAAAGTTGAAACCTAATGCCTGTCCTCAAGGGGCTTCTAGGTTGTCAGGAGACTGAATAGGACAAATATGTCAGTTTAGTGGTCAAAACTCTCACTAGGCTGAAGGAGGAAAGGAACGTTCTCCCACAGTGATGCCTGAATGAGGGCTTCCACAGCAGGAAGAGTCTGGGTAGGCAGGGGCGTGGTGGGAGGGATTTCGTTAAAGGACTCTAGGAACAAAGTCTGAGGAGCCCCTCCCATGAGATGAGCTGCTATTAAAAGGACTGCTGGGGCTCAGTGGGGGTCTCATCGGTTGGTGAGAGGAGCAGGTGAGGAAGGATGTGAATCCAGCCTGGGCTCTACATTAGGGCAACGTTAAACCTTTACAACAAGAGGCAGCAAGCGACAGCCTGTAAGCCAATCCTGCATGGTTTTGACAGTTGAGTAGCTGTGGCAAGAGACCACCGGGCCTGAAAGTGTAACAATTGTCTGGCCCTTTACAGGAAAAAAAATTCCAACTTCACCTTTAGGGGACCTTCAACAGAGTAGTAACATAATGAAACCTATTTTAGGAAAATTTGCCTTGATGGTGATTTGATTCAGTTAAACGAGTATTTAATATCTACTGGATGTTAAATACTGTGGGGTGCTAAGGAAGATAAATGAGAAATGGGGTCTGTATTAGGACAGTTTAGTGGGGGAGACAAGTAAAAAGACAATTATACTACAGTATGCCTCAAGAGGTAAGCCATTAGCTCAGAGCATCCAGAGAAGGTTTCTGGAGAAGGTAACGCCTGAGTGAAATTCTAAAGGATGAGTAAGTTAACTGGGCAAAGAGGTATAAGAGGAAGAAGGGACTAAAACACTCCAGGCAAAGGAAAGACAATGAGCAAGGATACAGGAGTAAAACCTATTTAATGGTCTAGTATTAATGGATGGAGAAATAACAGGGACAGATGAGGTTAGAGGCAGCTGGGGCCAAGTCTCCAAGTGCCTTTTACCTGTTCCAGAGGCACTAGAATTTTAGATAGAAAATGTCATGACTAGATTTTCATGAACACAGATCGCTCTGGCTGCAATGTCTGAGGAGACCAGGAGATGTTAGGATATTGCAATAGATGAGGAGCATCTGAACTAGAGCAGTGATGGCATGTGGGTTCAAGAAGGGGAAAATCAGCTGGACTTGACGGCTGGCTAGCCATGTGAGCTACGGGAGGTTAAGAATGACCCTCTCATCTCTGGCTTGGGTGAAGAGTGATTCCATTAAGAAAGAAGAAAGTGTCCGCTCTTTCTTTCCGGACCTGGTGGAGCAGAAGGCGCCATCATGGGAGGCGACATCCGCCACAACAAAGACCGAAAAGTTCAGCGCAAGTTGCCCAAGAGCCAGGACATCTGCCTAAGGCTGTTGGTCAAGCTATACAGGTTTCTGGCCAGAAGAACCAACTCCATCCCAAGGGCTGTGGCACTGTCTTGCTTTCTAGTCCTCGAAAGGGCCGCGGGGTGTACAGGCATTTCGGCAAGGCCCCAGGAACCCTCCACAGCCACACCAAACCCTAGTGCGATCCAAGGGCCGGAAGTTCGAGTGTGCAAGAGGCCGCCGGGCCAGCCGCGGCTACAAAAACTAACCCTAAATCCTATCCTGTTATTAAAGAGGTTTTGGATGCTGAAAAAAGAAAAAAGAAGGAAGTGTCCTAGATGGTTTGGCTCAGTGGATAGAGCGTCAGCCTGCGACTGAAAGCTCACAGGCTCCATTCTGGTCAAGGTCACATGCCCAGGTTGCAGGCTGGATTCCCAGGAGGGGGCATGCAGGAGGCAGCTGATCAATGATTCTCTCTCATCATTGATGTTTTGTGTGTATGTTGTTTTTTTTTCTCTCTCTTCCTCCCTGAAATCAACAAAAATAAAAATAAATAAAAATAAAAGAATGTGAGAGGAGCCAGTAGGGGAGAGATGAAGCATTCTACTCTAGCCATAAAGATTCTGAAAGACATCCATTTGGAGGTTTGGGCTGAAGATACAAAATTAATGTGTGTGTTTAGGAAGGCGGGTGGAGACAGAAGTAATTTGGCAGAAGGTGGTTCTAATCTAGACGACTGGGAGTAAGAACTTCCAAGCAGAACTGGATCTTGGATTTTCTGTCATCATATTTTAAGTATGGAAACCTCCTGAAGTTTGGATCACAGCCAGGGAGTACACACACTGATTTAAAGGATGGCTGGGGCCCCTTTAACAGCGTAAGACAGCGGAGTTTCATGGATTGCCTCAATTCTCCCAGAGAGGGTTCATACGTGGGGCTGATTCATCTAAATTGGGCTCGCACGCGGGGGAGGGGGTAATCAGCGCAGACTTCCCTCACCTGGTCCGCAAAATAGATCTTTTGCTTGCCGTACATCTTCTCTTTAATCTTGCCTTGTTGTGCCAGCTGCTCCAGCGCCTTCACCACGGCCTGGCAGAGTAGAGTGCGGGGCAATCAGTGACTTCGGGCTGGGCGGCCAGTGTTAGGGGCAGCGCGCGACCAGCCTTAGGAAGCCCAGGGCTACAATGGCCGACTCGAGGGGTCCCCAGGGGAGGAACCCTGGGAGCGGGTCCTCACCGCTTTGCCCAGCCCGTGTTCCCGCTGCAGGTTCCCAAACACATCCTGGGCGCTGTAGGGCCGGTTCTGCTCCTGCAGGTACTTCAGGAGGACCCCGGGGGCTACAGGAGAAGACACAGGGGCGGGGTCACTCAGCCGACCCCCGGCCCCCTTACCCGCTCCCCTCCGGGTCTCCCCGGCTCCCGAGGCCCGCGTACCGCCAGTCGCCGCTTCAGCCCTGCCTTTACTCATGGCCTTTCGCGCCGCCAAACTCCGAAAGCCGGACGTTACAGTTGCTCCGGGCAACGGCTTCTTCCGGCGGCGGGAGGGGCGGGCCTCGTGCGGCGACTGGCGGAAGAGGAAGCCTTGCGAGGAACGAAGCGGACCTTCCGGGACCCCGTAGCGGGTTTCTGCCCGGAGCTAGGACACCGCGCACCACCCCCTCCCTGGGAGTCCGCAGAGGAGGCGGGGCACACACTTCCAACCTTCCCCTGATCCCCCCCCGGAACGGAAGCCGGAGTACATCACGCCTTGGTCTTGTGGCCCGGCCCCCGCGGCGGCTGAGCAGGGCCGAAGGTTCCGACGGGAAACCTCGGGGTCAACGCCCGCTGGGCCGTCGGCCCGCTCAAGGTCACAGCGCAGTTACCGTCAGGGCCACTAGCCCACGGCCCGAGGCCCTTTGCCGCTAGTCTTATTTGTAAAGTAGGAGCCAGGGTTGCTTGCAGAAGGGTGATCGTAGACTTAATGAGTAAAACACCCTGGAAAGAAAAGTCGTCTTTGTTTGCTCGTTACCGAGCTCCGCACACAGGGGGCGCTCAACTCATGCTGTGGGTTGAACGCCGAGGGAAGGTAGGGCTGCGAGGGGGCTATTAAACCACAAAGCTTTTCGAAGTTTCCTGTTGGCTGAGTCAATTTTATGGCAACACCTGGCAGGTACTTTCCACTCCTGCCCACAGTGGCCAATGGGACGAAGCTTAAAATAAGTATTTCTAGTTTCTGAGGTCAGGTGAAGGCCAAAGAGCAGCTGTCCCTGCAGCTCAAACAGCCCGGAGGAGGGACATGGTGTTACTTTTTAAAGCCTTCTGTTACCTAAAATCTCATTAGCCTTTGAAATATACTTGTCTCCACACGTTTAGGGAGCAGTATCGAGAATCAGATGCCCTGGCCAGTGTGGCTCAGTTGGTCGGAGCGTCACTGGGCACCGAAAGGTTGCTGGTTCTGTTCAGTCAGGGCACATACTTAGGTTGCGGGTTTGATTCCTGGTGGGGTGTGTACAGGAGGCAACCAATGTTTCTCTCTCTCTCACATTGACAGTTCTCTCTCCTCCTCTCCCTTCCTCTCTCTCCAAAATTAAAAACAAACAAACATGTCCTCGGGTGATGATTAAAAATATATGATAATAGTAATAAAATGTTATTGAAAGGGGGGAAACCTAGGGCACCAGTGATGGGGAGGGTGGGACTCCAGTTTTGACTGGTTTGCCCCCTATGCAGCCTGAGTTGTCCTCCCCAACCTGAGACTCAGTTGATGTTTCTTTCCCGCTCTGAAATCAGTAAAAACATCTTCAGGTGAGGATTAAAAATCAAAAAAGAATTAGAAATGATGGAATAGAAACGATGGAGCTGCAGGCTAGATGCTGGCCAAGAGTGCCAGTTATGCTCATGTCTGGGCTCTGGGGAGGGGATAGTGGCCTCATACCGTGGTAATTTTCTTTTCTTTTTTTTTAAAATATATTTCATTGATTAGTTACAGAGAGGAAGAGAGAGATAGAGAGTTAGAAACATCGATGAGAGAGAAACATCGATCAGCTGCCTCCTGCACATCTACTGGGGATGTGCCCACAACCCAGGTACATGCCCTTGACCGGAATCGAACCTGGAACCTGTCAGTCCGCAGGCCGACGCTCTATCCACTGAGCCAAACCGGTTTCGGCCCGTGGTAATTTTCTGACCATCACAAAGGAAAAACCGCTAGGCAATGGGTTCCTTACACCTGGACTTCCTCTTCTGAGGCTCTTGCCTCCTCTAATCACATACCAGGTTAATGAGAGACCTATCAAGGGTAGGACACCATTCAATGTTAGTCTCTTACAGATTGTTCTCATATAAGATTTATTCCCCAGCACCCCTCCCACCCCTCCCCTCACCCCAATTCACAGTGGAGGACTAAGGAGATTCAGAGCAGGATCCCCAGGTACAAGAAACACCTTCCAAAGATTTTGCTCTCCTTCCTTCCCTCCTTGCTCACTCCCAAGCCTGGAGCTACACACACTCATGCAAACGCGCAAAATCCCACTCCTTTCCCACACCTCCCATTTTTTCCCACATCAGAGATCACCTGTAAGACATCTGGGCTCTGAGAGGAGATAAGGTGCCCAAAATATTTGAGAACCCTAAGTGGGGAAATGCCATTACCACTAACATTCACACAAAGGTGACTATGAAATAGGCATCTTCTTCTCCCTTCTCACTGTTCATGACTTTCACGTCCTGGCCTCTACCTTTCATCAGCCCGGAGCACACGTTAGCACACTCCCACTGTAGCACATGACAATGGGCTCTGTCCAGCATCCCTCACCCAGGGGCGGAGGCGCTGGGAGAGTGGTCCCTGAGGGTCAGCAAAGGGTTAATGCAGAGGGAAAGGACAGGAGTTTGGCTTGAGCTCTGGAGAAGCAGAGAGAGGGTGTAAGCTGACACAAGTTTAGAACTAATTACCAATTTCAGTTTTTGTTTCACATGATTTTACTAGGGACAGTCTTAACAGATACCCCTTAGAGGGGTCGCTGCTCATTACAGACACATTCTTGCTAATTGGGCTCATCCTTAAAAGAGGTCCACCAGGTTGGGAAGCAGTTCAATATAAAAAGTTTTAAAGGAGCTGAACAGAGTAAGAATAGCTGGTGAAGGAAGAGCTGGTGGCTTCTGGGATGAATGCCACTGAGCCGTTTGTAAAGTGCTACTCTGGCCTCCCCCATGGAATACTGCTTCTCCAGAGGAGGAGCAAGGGAAGGAGCAGGAACATGGGAATGGGTCTGGTCTGGTATTGCTTTGCTAGTTGCTCAGGCCGATGGGCAAATAGAGCCAGGGGTTAGCAGCACCGAAGACTACCAGGCAGCTCCAAAAGGTTCAGTGAGACCATCGAGAGGTCTCACCCTTCCAGCCAGCTGACCCCACGGCCCAAGGTAATGTAGAAGGGGCCCACCGCCACATCATGTTCACATTTCTTAAATTTCACAAGCAGTTTTGGAGCAAACTGGGGGTTAGGCCTCAGGAACTGAGGATGGGCTGTGGCAGAGGGAACAGCCCTGCTCTGCAGAACCAAAGGAGGAGCTTGCGTAGAAACAGACAAATCATGGCTTAGCCCAAGAGGAGAATGACAGTGTAATTCTTCCAGCTGCTGCCTGACTTGGGCCTCTAGGGAGATGATGGAGGAGGAAGGGCTCTTCTATCACTGAGGGCTCCTGAGCACCCATATCTAGAAGCAAACAGCAGCACCCCCTCAAAGGGGAACCAATACCCCTGACTACTTTGTTCCCCAAAAGAACCATCCTGATGGGGAGAAGCCTCCCGAAGGAAGCACACTTGCACTTCAGTGACTGAGCTCAGAAACGGGTGTCCAGCTGGTAGCAGGGAAGTGAGTATCTTCTCTCAACAGGCCTCTGAGCATCAGCCAGGCCACCAGGCATACAAGTATAAGTCAGGGGATGGGACCTGGGTTCTTCCCTTGCCCCTTCACCTTTAGTGGGATGAGAAAAAAACCCTAAGCCACAGTGACCCCCCCCAAAAGGAGTCTCTGCTTCAGTGGCTCCTGGAACTGGCAGGGTCCAGCTGACTCAGCTCTGACTGGTCCAGAAGTTCAAAGTCATCCCCCTCAGCATCAGTGTCCAGGTCTGAGCTGGGGGCCCGGAGGAAGCCTCTGGTTGCTCTCCGGGGAGGTTGGCCAGAAGGGCCAGGCTGGGAGGCCCCTGACAGGGCCAGCTGGATCATGCCCTGAGAGACCAGGCTGGCAAAGTTGCTGGTGAGGTTGGATCCTGCAGGCAGGGCACCAAGCAGGAGCTCCGGCAGTGTACTCTCGTCACGGCTGGCTGGGAAGCCCTGGGGCTCGGCCCCTGGTGGGGAATGGTACATCAAGCTGGGCATTCCAATGCTGGTATCGTCCTCATCGTCCAGGCCAGCAGGATCCACATTAATGGAAGGGAAGTCTGGAAGGTCTCTGGCAAAGGATTCCTCTGGATCACTGTGCCCATCTAGGTCTAAAAGCACAGAAGGGTGTCTGAGACATAGCAACGACCTGACCCCAGCCCCACCAAGTCGGCCCCATGTAACCACATTTTTCCACCCTGGATATCTAAGGGTGAAGCAAACCCATGGCACTGGTCAGCTTTTCCCCTCTACTTACAGACTGCTGAGTCCTCTACTGGCGAGAACTCCCCCTCTCTCTTCTTCCCCTATGCTCCCCATGAACCTACAACCTGAGGAAACTAAGGAACTGAGGATTCCAAGGAGAGCAGCTGTGCCATCCTGGACGTGGCCATATACCCCTAAGGCTGCTCTGACAACTGACCCACTTCTCAGAAAACAGGAGAGGAGAGGGCGGTATCCCTTCTGTCCAGGGAAGCTGAAAGGTGGTAAGTCAGAACCATGATCAAGTCAGGCCGCTCACCTTCAGAGCCTTCTGTTAGAGGAGTCTGGCCCCGAGAAAGATTGAATGTGCCGTTGTCTGTATAGGAGACCTCAGCATCCGAGTGCTCAGAGTCTGTGATGGCCAGTTCCCTGGCAGCAGTAGAATCATCCAGCTAAGGAAAGAAAAGACAGACAAGCCGGAAGAGATGATGCCGGTAAGGACAGATGCAATAAAATAAAATTTTTTTAAAGTTAAAAAAAAAAAAGAACAGATGCAATCCCCTAGTAACAGCTTTACTAATTACTGGCCCTGAAGACTACCCTAAGGCCAGAAGTAACCAGATGTGGATGGAGACTTCTGTCAAAATCTTGACCATTTTTAGGCTGCTTCCCAAGGAAAACACCCTTACTCATCAATCTTGAGCACAGGAAGGAAAGCAGTCTTAGGCATCAACCACCCACTTACTCTTAAGCAAACTGATCCAGAAACACTTTCCACAGGTGCCCTGGAGGATACACACACTGCCCAACCCAAGATGAGCAGGGCTCTTTATTTTTATTTTTTAAAATATATTTTATTGATTTTTTACAGAGAGGAAGGGAGAGGATAGAGACTTTGAAATATCGATGAGAGAGAAACATCGATCAGCTGCCTCCTGCACATCTCCCACTGGGGATGTGCCCGCAACCAATGTACATGCCCCCGACCAGAATCGAACCTGGGACCCCTCAGTCTGCAGGCCAACACTCTATCCACTGAGCCAAACCGGTCAGGGCATGAGCAGGGCTCTTTAAAAGATAATCACACCAGTTCCAGAAGTTCTGCCATGATGGCAGGGGTTAAAGGGAGACATGAAAGAGGGTGTGCTGGTCACCAGGCTCAAATTGAGATTTACAAAGTCCCAATATAACACTAGCTTC